CGGAGGAACCAGGAATAAGAAGCTCACATAGTCAAAACAGTATTGAGAAAGAAAGAAGAGAGTTCACATGTCTTCATTTAAAAACTTATCACAGTACTCTAGTAATCAAAACACTGGTACTGTCATAAACTTAGACATAAAGACTTAAGTGGAATAGAGTTAAGAGTCCAGTTATATACCTAGACACTGTTGGCCAATTGATTTTTCAACAAATATACCAAGACCATTTATGGGCAAAAAATACAGCCTTTAAATAATTGGTGCTTCTAAAAAACCACAAATTAAATTTGCTTTTTTAAAAAACTAAAAATGCTGGATGAGATGGATTGACTCAGTGTTTGGAGTAATGGGGGGTAGACGTATCAGAGTTAATGAAATTGGCTCAAGTTTTAGAGAAGGGTTCAGAGCTGTTGTACATAGGGTCTCTATGAGTTGCAAGTGACTTGACAGCACATAACAACAGCAACAATTAAACTTTTTTTAAAAAAGTCATATTTTCATTTAAAAACTATTTTTCCCTTGGGTTTCCCCCTTTTTGTTTGTTTCATAGATATTGTGGTAGATTGCCGTCGAGTCAAGCACGACTCGTAGTGACCCTATGAACAAAAGACCTGAAGCCTTTCTATAACTATAGACGTTTATCAAAGTTCATAGAGTTTCCAGAGGCATGTTGTTTAGGAAGTGGATACCACATAATAAATCTAAATATCTCTGGATAGATTTTTCTCTTGGGTTCCCCCCTCTTTTACTAGCCATCCTTTAGTTTCATGGACAACTCTGGGTACCCTGTCTCTGCCTTCTAAAAGCTCTCTACTGTTCCCTGAAATATGTCACATCTGGTGCTATTTTGCTATTTATCTTAGTTTTGTAGGCTACCAGAGGGGCAATAAAAAAAGCTGATTTGCAGCTCTGAGTAAGTAGGGCAGGTCTGTCAACTGCCGTACTGTGTAGGCTGAGCTGACAGGGAGCCAGCTGTTAGATTGGGGAACCCCTAAATGCCAGCTTGTGAAGGTCTTTGTTCTAGGGCACCAGTGTTTACCAGAGTTCTCGTCACAATTTATTTAGTTTCTCCTCGTGACCTTGCTCTGATCTTTTTCTGAGGAGAGTTGAGGTTGACCCATGCCTGCTCGGCATTCTGTGTTCAGGGTAGAGGGACTTGGAAGGAAGGTACTGAGGAATCCATGTAGGACTTAAAATCAGCCTGCTTGTTTTCCATTCTGGGACTTGCTTCCTTCCACCTGAGGTGAACCAGGTGTTTCCAGATCTTGTTGGTGTTCAGGCACCTGGAGCCCTCCACACCACAGGTGGCAGTCTCCTCTCTGCTATGCTGGGTCCTCCACACCCTGTATTCAACTTCCTTTTGTATTGAAATCACTCTTGTTGCCCTCTCCCAAACTTTACCTCATTGTAGATTCATACCATTAAATACCTTATGAAATGTTTATAGGGTTTCAGAAGGAAAATGGCCTCATATCATCTGTTCAGCCCCTTGATCTGGAGTATCTTGTTTCTTTAACTTGTTAATCAGTTACATTTTTTTTTCTTATTTTACTGAAAATTTACAAATCATATTGATTTTCCATTCAGCCACTCATAGACATTTTGTTTTATAAAAGTAATTATAATTGATTAATGTAGCTAATCAATTATAATGTCTAATCAACCACCAGATTTGTCCTGGAAAGGGTTAAACCGGGTGGCTCCTTGGAGGCAAGGATTCTGAGGCTCCGTCTAACATACTTTGGACATGTTGCTTGGGAGGGTGGAGGGACAGCACAGGAGAGGAAGGCCCTCTATGAGGTGGATTGATTCGGTGACTGGGATAATTGGGATGGGAGTGTCAGAGACAGTGCGATTGGCACAGGACAGAGCGGAGTTTAGGGCTGTTGTAGGTCGCTATGAGTCGCAGGCGACTCGATGGCACATAACAACAACAACAATCAACCACCTGTATATTTTTTACTTCTCTTATCTAGTAATTTTTACTCCCTCCTCCCTCCCTTTCCATCCCTAAAGACCATCTGAGAATGATTCTGTGTGTAAATTAAAATAGTGGTATTATGCCATTATGGGCCTTTCATAATGGACTGATTCACTCCATTCAGCATCATTTATTCTAGATTCATTCTTGTTGGGCAGTATCTCACAAAGCCTTGTTTGTGTTTTTTGGTGTTTGTTTTTTTTTTAAGTGATACATGATATACCACTGTGTGAATCTTCCCGGCTTCCTTCGTTAGCCATTCTTCCAGTGGTAGACAATTGGATTGCTTCCAGGCTCCGCTGTTGGGAAGAACTGTGCTGTAAACATGGGTGTACCTATGTGGAATTGTGTTGCAGTTCTTATTTCTTTAGGATCTATATACCTATGTGCATCAAATGGTATTTCTATTCCCAACTTTCTAAGGAAATCCCAAATTTGTTTTCCATAGTGGTTGCACTCTTTTACTTTCCAGCCAACAATGGATGAGAGTTCCAGTCTCTCCATACCCTTTGCAGCATTTGTTGTTGTGGTCTTAATAAACTGCGCTATTATTGCTGGGGCGAGACAATATTCCATTCTTGGTTTAATTTGCATCTCTCTGCTAGCTAATGATCTTGAGCATTTCCTCATGTGTCTGTTGGTCATTTAAATGTCTCCTTTGGTTAAGTGTCTTTTCATGTTCATTGTCCATTTTGTAATTAGGATTTTTTTTGTTGCCGTTGCATCTTTTTTTCCTTTCTCTTGATTCTGTTTTCATCTTCTTAACCTATATGTATATTAAGAGTTCATTTTGACCTGGGCTGTTGTTTTTGCACCTAGAATGTGACTTCCCCAAAGGGTTCAGGACTTCGTAAGTGGCCAGAGTAGTCAGTCTCCTTAACTGCTGAGTTATGTTTGATGTGGCATTTACTGTTCTTTGTGTATACCATTTATTCTGGCTATAGATCTCGGAATTGTCTCTAAGAAAGACTTAAAAAAACCCTTTTAATGATACTCATTCAGCAAAAAAATGAAAAACTCCAGCCCAGTGCACCCAAACCCACTGCTGTCAGGTATATTCCAATTCATAATGCTATTCCTTTGGGTTTCTGAGGCTGTATACCTTTAAGGGAGAAGATTGTTAATTTTTTTTTCATACAACAGTTGGTGCATTCAACTTAAGGGCCTTTTGGTTAACAGTCCCAAACTATAAGGCGGTACTGAGCCACCAGAACTCTTGTATACTTGTTGTTAGGTGCTGTTGAGTCTAGTACAACTCATAGCAACCCTATAAACAACTGATCTGAACCCTGTCCTCGTCTGTGCCATCCTCATCATCTCTGACACAGGAGCCCATTGCTGCAGTCAGTGTATTACTCCAGCTCATCAAGGGTCTTCCTCTCTTTTGCTAATCCCCCATCTTTCCAAATGATGTCCCTTTCCAAGGAACAGCCTCTCCTAAAGCAACATGGTCAAAGTATATAAGGTTAAGTTTTCCATCCTTACCTCTAAGGAACATTCTGGCTGTACTTTTTCTAAGATCTGCCTGTTCATTTGGCAGTCCATGGGATATTCAGAACTCTTCTCCAGCACCATAACTCAAAGACATCAGTTCTTCTCTGATGAAGATCAGAAGCATCAATTCTTTCTTTGATTGAGAATTCTTTTCAATCCTTCATTGCTCAGCTCTCAGATGCCTAGCAAGTGATTGAAAAGGCCACGGCCTGGATCAGGCACTCCTTAGTCTTCAAACTGACATCTCTAATTTAGAGAAGTCAGTGATGGAGGACTTGCCCAAAGTGATTTATCTCCTGAGAACTGATACCAAGAGTGTTGGATCCAAGTACGATGAAATCATTGACAACTTCAGGGTTTTTTGGTTTTGTTTTTTTGTTTTGTTTTTCATCTCTCATGGTGGTGCCTATTGGTCCAATGGTGAGGACCTTTTATGCCCTTGATGTTGAGATTATTCTATACCTAAGTCTGTAGTTCTTTATCTTCTGCAGCATATGTTTCATACCCTCGTGTTCAGCAGGCAAGGTGGTGTCAAAGTTAATAATTCTTCCTCCAATCCTGATGTCACATTCTTCTTCATAAAGTCCAGTTTCTCGAATAATTTGTTCTGTGTACACATTGAATAAGTATGGAGAAACGATACAACCCTGGTGTGCACCTTTCCTGATTGTAAACCATTCAGTGTTCCCTGCTTTGTTCAAACATCAGCTTCTTGATCTAGGCCTAGGTTTCATATGAGCATAATTAAGTGTTCTGGGATTCCCATAGTTAGGTTTCATATGAGCATAATTAAGTGTTCTGGGATTCCCATAGTTATGTTTCTGTCTTCAGTGTTAATAAAATATATATATATATACACACACACACACACACACACACAGAAGTCATGATCTAAACTGAGCAACTATTCAGATAATCTCAGAGTAAATTTTAGTGACGAATAATGTCAGGAACTTGAAAAATATGAGATTGATATCTTAAAAAAATAAGATAGCAATTTTTTACTAATGTAGGGCACTCCTGTGGTCTAGTCTGTAGGGAATTAATTGCCCTGCTAACCTAAAGGTTGCCAGTTGGGTCCACTAGTGGCTCCGTGGGAGAAAAACTGGCCAACTCCTGTGTGGTTTACAGCCTCCGAAAGCCTGTGACAGGGACAGCTCTGACTTGATAACAGAGTTTGAATTTTTTATTAACTTGAACATTTTAGTTGCCAGGATGATATTTTATGAGGTATATGGTAGTTTGGTGGTTAATTTTCTGTGTTTAAAGTAACAATAGATACCAGTATTCTAACACAGTTATAATTACTTTCATTCAGATACTGAATATAAGAGTAAATATATAGTCACTCTGTATGTAGTTGGGAAGCCTGTACTATGCACCTTTTTCTGACAAGACTTTAATGGCGGTAATGATATTTCTGTTTGTTTGATTTCGTTCATAGAAGACAAAGCTAGTAATTAGGGTTATTTAACAGAACATTGTCTAAATAAAGATTCTACCTTAACTTCCTCTTTAACAATAGGAGCAGATGTCTCAAGTATTAGATGCCATGTTTGAAAAATTGGTCAAAGAAGGGGAGCACGTAATCGATCAAGGTGATGATGGTGACAACTTTTATGTAATTGACAGGTAAGTCTTTCATAGCTTCACATTGAAATGTCAAAAATCGATTGTGTAAAATGTCTGGTTATTCCAACTAATGGGAAGTGAATATGTGATAGTCCCTACTGCCTCTTCGCTTTTAGGGCCGTGTAACAGGCACCCTAAGTAAACCTCAGGAGAATGTCATGCAGAACTACCTGACCAGTCCGGCGAGAGACATAACTTAGAAAATTCTCCTGTCATCTCAGTCACTGGTCATTTGCTAACTTTGATTTGAGAGTATGTAGGGAACAATATAACATAACAAGTGATTGCAAAAACCATGGCCTGTATCAGGCGCACCTTAGCCTCCAGAGAAACACCGTTGCTCTTGAGTACTTTAGAGAGGTCCCTAACCGCAGACTTTCCCATCGCAATACATTTTTTGATTTCCTGGCTACTGGTGCTAAGAGTGTTGACTGTGGAGCTGAGCAAACTGAAGCTGTGAACAATCTCATTCTCTTCACCATCCATCCTGATGCTACCGATTGGGCCAGTGGTGAGAATTTTTGTCTTCTTGACATTGAGCCTCAGTCCATATTGAAGGCTGTAGTCCTTGACCCTCTGCAGTAAGTGCATGAGGTCTTCCTCAGTTTCAGCGAGCAGGGTTGTGTCATCTGCATAACGCAGATTATTGATAGATCATCCACCAATCCTAACTCCACGCTTCAGAGAGTTGGACAATGACTAGGGAGGATAGAAGGAGAATTGACGCCTTTGAGCTGTGGTGCTGGAGAAGAGTATTGAATGTACCATGGCTGCTCCTTGGAGGCAAAGATTCTGGGGCTTCGCCTGACATACTTTGGACATGTTGTAAGGAGAGACAGGTCTTTAGAGAGGGACATCATGCTGGGCAGAGTGGAGGGACAGCGCAGGAGGGAAGACCCTCTATGAGGTGGATTGAGTCAGTGACTGGGGTAATCGGGATGGGTGTGTCAGAGGCAATGAGATTGGCACAGGATAGAGCAGGGTTTAGGGCTGTTGTACATAGGGTAGCTATGAGTCGCAAACGACTCGACGGCACATAACAACAACACAACAGGGAACAACATATGCATGTCACAGATTGCTATTTTAGTGCACAAAAGAAGTATAATACATAATCTACAATCGTCTCTGAATTATAGTATAACTCAAACTATATTTGTCTAAAAGGATTTTTATTATTTACGGTAAAAGTCAAATATGATCATAGCTTAAAAATTTTTTTAAGTATTTCAAAAGAGTCAGGCGAAGGGTCATTTTCCTCCTCTTGCTTCAGTCAGTCGGTGACGTGAGGAGTTTGCAGGTCCTTCCAGTAAAGGTTTTGGATCATATTTGTCTTCAAAGTGCTCTCTACATAAATTGCTTTCTTTATGTTGTAAATCTGATTTCTGAGAAATTGCCTTGTGCTTTATTTGTCACTTCAGAGAACAGAGTGCCTTAAGCACTGATTAGATGTTACCTGAAATGTAATTATGGTGCAGTGGGAAGCGTGTCTTTTTTTTTTTTTATTTTATAGAACAATGGCAATGGGCTTTTGGACAGTTGGCATCAGCTCCTCTTGTTTTGTGTGGAACACAGATTACCTCCAAACCAGATTTATTGGATTACATATACCTCTGCATAGAGTTGTCCCCACCCCAGTGGCCTTGCTAGAATCAAGTTCCCTTCTTTCTCCTTCAACCTTCTTTGATCTTTGGTGAAGGCCTTGGTGACTGACAGACCTATTGACAAGGCTCCAGTCAGGACTGAGGTATACGCTGAGTTTAGAAAGAACAAAAGTAGACACCAATTAAAATCTTGATCTTTGGTGTCTGGAACAGCTTTAATCACTGAAACACCTCAGCAGTTCACTTTGCTGTTCACTAACATTAATTTGTATGCGAGTATGAGATCCTCAAATAGAATCCCGTAGTCATCATGTGTTAGTACACATTTTGTCTATTAAGCTGCCTTACATTTGCATATAGGACATTGCGTTTTTAGTTTGACCCTTACCACCCCTTGGACAGATGAAAAGACTGAGGAACACAGAACTGACATGACTGAATTAGAATCAGTCAGTAGAGAGGGAGCTCTGGTGGCCTGGTGGGTAAGGAGTTGAGCTGCCAGCCAAGGGCAGGAAGTTAGAATTCACCAGGTGCTCCAATACAGAAGGATAAGCAGTCTCTTCCCATGTGATTTACAACCTCTGGAAACCCCTGGAGGGTTGGCTATGAGTCGGTTCCAACTCATGGCAATGAAAAAAGAAATTACAGACCTGATCAGAGATTTCTGTTACAGAGGTGACCCCATAGGCTGGTCTCCAGGCTTCCACTCAGGCTCCTCCCACAGCTCCCGCTGCCTGGAGTAGCATTTACCAGAAAAGAAAGCTAGATGGAAAAGCACCACACACTACTTTAACAGATTTTAGCCTGATCCGATTTCAGCTGGACCAGTAGCTTGCCCATTTGTTAGGTATTATATCCCATTTAAAACAGTAAATGAATGAAACTGTTACAATCTAAAAAAAGTCATAAGATAATTTGAAGTTGAAAAAACATTATGGAACAACTTCAAGAAAGTAATCTTGGAATAGTCATTAATAAGTCATTAACTAAATTAATCCCAATTATTCTCTTTATTCTTAATAGCCTTTGCTTATTATGTGATATTTTTTGTTATTATTGTTTTATTGCCGTTCCTTTACCATTCTAAATTCTTTTCCAATATTAAAGGCCTTTTGGCCAACTTTTCTTTTTCTCCCTTCCTTTTTATCTTTGTTAGGATTTAGCACAGAATAAAGTAAAATAATTTCTTCTGGCTGCCTTCACAGGTGTTTCTGCTGCCTTGAAATTATGTTTAGTCTGATCAAATACAGTATGTGGAAAGACCAGTCACCTGCATGAACAATGCTATTTATATAACTCTCTTGATAGTTATATATGCAGTATGAGTAACATGCAAAAGTAGTTTTCTTTTCCTAGAAAAAGAACCGCAATGAAATGCACACACACACAAAACTGTAAAAAGGTTCAGATCATATATTTAGTCTTCATTCTGACCATGTTTTATTTTAGATCAGGAGTTGGCAGATTTTTTTTCCCCTTCGGGGACAGAAAGTAAATATTTAAAACTCTGCTACAATTACTCAACTCTTCATATTGTAGCACAAAAACAGCCACAGGTAAGGCACGGACAAATAAGTTTGTCTGTGTTCATGTAAAATTTATTTATAAAGAGCTAGAAGCCAGCTGGTGGGTCATAGTTGACTCACTCCAGTTTCAGATTATAAAGGATCCCAGCGAGTAGTCTAGAGGAGTTGGGGAGCCAGATTGTTACAGCTATATTATTTGTGAAGTTATTTTCTTCGAATTACTAAAAGGAATACAGGTTTAGAAACAGTAATGCATTTTAGAAACAGACCAATTTGATTTACTCATCATCCCTGGAATCTTTCACTGGTTGAACTCTCAGCTAGAAAGCCACTCTCAGTGGTTTGAGATCTGATCTTCCATGGGCTGCCTACCTATGTGCTATTTCCTAATGATATTATTATCATTTATTTAATTATCTTAATTGTTTATTGTTTAGTCTCGCTTATCCCCAGTGAAAGCCTGTATGGCCCTTTCTCTTGATTAGCTGATGGTCTCTTCAAACTTGTCGAGAACAGATGGTGCTTCTGGCACCTAGTGATGCCCTTTAATTAATTGCTGCTGTCAGAGGGGAACTGGAAGCCACGATACTAGATTTCACAGCTCAGCACATTTCCCTGAGATAATGTGCTCCTTTATCTCATGAGAGAGTAGGCCTTTATGTACATTATTTTACCTCTAATTTCCGTGTGCTCAACAGAGGAACATTTGACATCTATGTAAAATGTGACGGTGTTGGGCGATGTGTTGGTAACTACGATAACCGTGGAAGCTTTGGAGAACTGGCCTTAATGTACAACACACCCAGAGCAGCGACAATCACTGCTACCTCTCCTGGTGCTCTCTGGGGTTTGGTGAGTAAAATATTGACTTGACTTGAATGGTATTATATGTGTCAAAATAAAAAGAAAGGCGTGATGGCAATAGCTAGGTTGATGAAGTATTCTAATCTTATAGGTAGGCTTAGTTAAGATCGTCACTTACTGATTAAGCAGCTCTTGGATGCTGAAGCTGGTGACACTAGATATGTATGGAGTTGAATCCTTGTGTCCTTTTCCTCCTCCTCCACTCGAGTCGGTCGCATAGGACCTGCTGGCCCTGGGAAAGACTCATAGACCCAAAATGTTCCCTGTCCCTACTCTTTAGAAAACAGCCAACCAATCAAACAAGGCAGTCTTCAGTGCTGTTTTCTCCAGTACTGAGGTGAGTGTCGTAGAGAATGAATCCTTGGTTCCCAAGTGTGGTTCCCTGGCTAGCAGCAGCCGAATCTCCTGAGAACCTCTCAGAAATGCAAATTCTAGCACCCTGGACTTCAGACCTACTGAATCAGAAACCATGGAGATGGTGCCCCAGCAAACCCTCCTAAGAGTCTGGATCATACTAGAGCAAATTCTCTGAGTGATATAAATGATTAGTAACAGCTTTGCATAGAGGGAAAACTGCTTCATGTCCATGCTTCTCACATATCTGTGCTTCTCAGCCTGCCTGCACATCAGAATTACCTGGAGTGCCTTACAAATAACAACAGAAACCTCTTGCTGCTATCACCTGAAACCATTTAATGGGAAATACTGGGTTTGGGACCTGGACATTATTACCTCTAAAAATCGGTTTCTTAATGGTGATAGTTCCACCAGCCCAGAATGTTGGTTCATTTCATAGATGGTCACTCGTTCATTCATCACTTTAGCGATGATAGCTCAATAACTCATCATTTCACCATGGTGGCTTATTGATAAGGAATTGTGCTATCAGCCTAAAAGCAAATGGTTCAAATCCACCACCTGCTCTGTGGGAAAAAGATAGACAGTCAACTTGTGCATGATTTATTGCCACTGAAAACCTGCTGGAGGATCATTTATGAGTGGGTACCAACTTGATGATACACAACAAGAAGGATATCATTTCATAGATGTTAACTCAATTCCTTGTCATCGAATTGCAGTAGACTCATACCTGACTTCCTGCAAAGTTACTAGTACTAGTAGAAGACTACTAGTTAAAGAAGACTTTAGTTAAGTAGAGTTTCTTGGCCAATTAGGGGCAAAGAGGTATAATCTATTTAATTATAACCAAAGACCCTGAAGAAATGAGTTGCTGGTTGGGGTCTTGGGACCAGTCTTGGGGACACCAAGGTCAGCTGGCATGACCTAGTCCACAGAGACAATAATCTGTATCCTACTTTGGTGTCTGGCATCTTAAAGTTGGGAACAGGCATCTTAAGGTGCAGTTGGCCTCTCCCTGTCTGGTAAAAAGGAGGGGGGGGGGAGGAAAGCAATAATGTGTAGAAACAATTAATTTAAAGAATTAATGGATCACGCCAGCCTCAATTTCCAGAGTTCTAAGACGAAAAGACATCCTGCTTGGAAGGGTGGATGGACAGCACAGGAGAGGGAGACCCCAGATGAGATGGATTGATAAAGTAATGGGGGCGATGGAGACTAAATTAGTGAGACTGGCTTAGTACAGGAAAGGGTTCAGAACTGCTGTATATAGGGTCACTGTGCATTGCATGCAACTCAACCAGTAATATTCTATGACAGGTTTGGAAGCAGAAGTGGCATCTACTTCCTAAACAACTTGCCTCCGGAAACTCTATGAACTTTGATAGTGTTGATAGTTGTAGAAGGGCTTCAGGCCTTTTGTTCATAGGGTCACTATGAGTCATGCTCAACTTGAAGGCAATCAAAAACAAGACCATAAGAACCGTGTCATGTCTGGCTGCCACCACTGGCTACTCTAAAACAAACAAAAAAACCCCAGCCATGATCAAATTGGAAGATCCTTTATAGAGTTGGGAGAAATGTAAAAACAATAAAAATAGACTGGGCTTTCTGGTCCAGTAGAGAGTGATGGTACTCCCAAGACAGTGGCCTATAGTCACTCTTCAAACCTGAAAAACACTTATTCCCCCTTAGCCGCCTCCTGTCCCCACAGCCTCCTCCCCTCACTCAACTCTCAGTTCAAATAAGCAGGCTGGTAAGGTAAACAGGGAGCTCTAGTGTCCTGGGAGGTCAGGACAACACAAAGGCAGGTGGTTCAGGTCCACCAGATGCTCCAGGGAAGGAAGATGAGCGTTCTCCCCCCGTGCCATTTACAGCCTCTCAAAACCTGCTGGAAGGTTAGCTATGGGTTTGTTCAGACTGCACAGTGTATAACAATGACTGAAACAAGGTAAACAGTAACACTTGGGGGCCCTCACTCCTAACCAACCAACCATATACAGTCAATACAGAAGCATTTACCCAAGGATAAAGCCTGGATGGCAGGCTTGGGTACAAGTGAGAATGACGGGGTGGGGGGGCATGGAAAGAGTGTGATTACATTGTGGATGTGACAGTTAGTTTTGTAAAACAAAACGTCTATGAATAGCCGAATGGAAAATCAGTTCACTTGCACTCAAATAACATTTAAAAAAAGAAATAAGAAATCCCTAGGGCTGTGTAGTGAGAGAGACTAAACTAGCACTTCTCGAACTTTTACATGCTTATAAATCGTACGCATGTCTTACTAAAATATGGATTCTAGCTTTAGTGACCTATTGGATAGGGACTGTGTTGCCAGCCAAAGGGTGCACAGTTCAAATCCACCAGAGCCTCCATGAGAGAACGATAGATGGTCTCCTCTTACCCTCTCTACAGCCTCTGAAAACTCCTTGGAGTCAGTTCTGCCTTGACAGCAGTGGGAGTCAGGGAAAGAATGTGATCTGGTGGGTAAAGAATGGGGGTGCTTGCTACCTGATGCTTAGATCATTTAAGTAGCACCGACTTGGGGGGGGCATTAAAAAATTATTATAAAACAAGGGAGATCTGGTGGCCTAGTGGCAAGAAGCTGCACTGCAATCCCAGAGGTATGCAGTTTGAAAACCACCAGATGCTGTGCTGGAGAAGGAGGGGTAGTCTCCTCTTGTACCAGTCAGATCCAATTTGATGATACACACACACAAAAAAATAAAAATTAAAAAAAATTAAAAATTGTTAAAAAACGAATGTATAGTTTCGATATACATCATGCTTTCATCTTGTAGTGGAAGGAAAGAAGTTGAGTTTAAACATATGAAGCTTCTTAGGAACCTCGTCTCCAAGGCCTGTTGCATTACTCATGTTACATGTGACTGACTCAGTCATGACTCACAATTTGGAGCCTACTGATAAAAGGATCTCTTGATCAGAAGAATGAGAAATATTTTCTCTCTTTTTATTAAAACTAGGGAGTTACTGTTTACATGGGAGAAATGTGATGAGTCAGTTAAAAATTGGCATTTCTTCAGGTGGAAGGAGACTTATTATTTGATGGATTTTAAGGGCTCCAAGAATCTGAACACCCAACACCAGAAAAGTAGAACTCCAGAATAAAGGAAAGGTGGTTAACAGGAAGTATTTGCATGGTTAAGTGAATCTAGAGTATAACATTACTTGTCTTACTATAGAAAATAGTACCTGAAAATGTCATCATCTCAGTGGGATTGCCTGCAAAGCCGAGTAGTTTCACAGTAACGAGCTGATAGTTCCAGACCCTTGGAGTTGGAACCATCTCCTAGCTGATCCTCCAGAGGGCAGTAAATCACACAGAAGATGTCCATCTTTCTCCCATGAAGCAGCAGGATTCAAACTGTGAGCCTTTGGGTTGGCCACTCATCTCCTTACCACCAAGCCCCCAAAGTTAGGTGAAAAAAATCCATTGTTTCCCAGTATGCATGTGTTCTAGTTAAACTCTTGAGAGGCATTGAACATTGTACAGAGATTTTATTTTACTATTTTTTTGCAAACTTTCATCTTTTTGTGCATTTTGTTTTATTGCATCTTGCAGATATGACTTTATTTTTTTTACAAATTGAAGATTTGCGGCAGCTCCTCACTAAACAAGTCTGTTGACACCGTTCTCCCCCACGTCATATACTCCTTTCATGTCTCTTGTCACGTTTTAGTCATTCTTGCAATATTTTAGGCTTTTTCATAATGCTGTTGCACACTCGGCTAGTTAATGTATACCTAATATATATTCTTAATAGTACAGTATATACCCACCTTGTTTACATGGACTGGGAAACCAGAACGTTGGTGTGACAGCCTTCATTGTGATATTTGCTCTACTGGGTGGTCTGGACCCAGATCTGTAATATCTGTGCATGTGACTAAACTTTGTTAAATGGACAGTGGTGATCTTTGTGTATCTTTAGTATGCACACAAAAGAAAACTTTTTTTAAAATTAAAGATAGTTGATACTTCAGCCTTTCTTTTTAAAAAAATTTTATTATTTTTTGTGTGTGTACCATATCAGATCTGACTGGTACAAGAGGAGGTTGCCCCTCCTTCTCCAGCGGAACATCTGGTGGATTTGAACAACGCATGTTATGCGTCAGAGAGTTGGACATTGACTAGGGAGGATAGAAGGAGAATTGATGCCTTTGAGCTTTGGTGTTGGAGAAGAGTTTTGAGGGTACCATGGACTGCTAAGAAAATAAACAGATTCATCTTGGAGAGGGTTAAACCGGGCTGCCCCTTGGAGGCAAGGATTCTGACGCTTCGTCTGACATGCTTTGGACATGTTGTAAGGAGGGACAGGTCCTTGGAGAGGGACATCATGCTTGGGAGGGTGGAGGGCAGGCACAGGAGGGGAAGGCTCTCTAGAAGATGGATTGATTCGGTGACTGGGGTAATCGGGATGGGTGTGTCAGAGACAATGAGACTGGCATAGGACACAACAGAGTTTAGGCCTGTTGTACATAGGGTTGCTATGAGTCGCAAGCGACGGCACTTAACACGACCACCACCACCTCTGGGATTGCAGTGCAGCTTCTTGTCACTAGGCCACCAGAGCTCCCTATTTCAGCCTTTCTAAATGGTGATATATTTAACACACACATACACATACACTCTACTATTCCAACAATCTTAAATGTGTGATCCAGTGACCTTAATCACATTCATTTTACTATGCAACTGCCAAACTGCCACCACTACATGTTTTTTAAAAGAAAAATAAATTGCTTGCCCCAGTCAGACACCTAGTGCCCCTTAAACAATGACTCTCGTTCTTGCCACTCGCTACCCACTGATAACCATCAACACACTTTTGTGGGATGCTGTGCAATCAGGTAATATTTGTCCTTTTGAGTCGTACTCATTTCACTTGGCATCTGTATTATGCACACATTAGAACTGGATTTCTTTTCAGTTGAGTGATTGTACCTCATTTCATTTATCCATTCACTTGTAGATGGTTATTTGGGCTGTTTCCCCATTAGGACTATGAAAACTAATTTTACTGTAATCATTAGTGAACAGATTATTAAGTCCTTGCTTTCTGTTGTTTGAGTATTTACCCAGGATGGACTTGCTGGGTCGAAGGGTAATTCTTTGTTTCTTTGTTTTGACAACCCACTAAAATAGTATTTTTTTTTAAATTATGTTTATGCTCTACCATTTGCAGCCTAAAACAGCATCAGATGAGGATTACAATTTCTCTACATCTTTGACAACACTTTTTGCCTATTTTTCTGATACTAGCCATCCTAATGTGTGTGAAATGATGGCCCGTGCGGTCTGATTTGCATTTCCTTAATGACTAATAACAGAAGCATCTTTTCATAGGCTTATTGTTTGTTCACTTACCATCTTTGAAGAAATGTCTCCTTAAGACCTTTGGCTGTTTTCAAGTTGGATTGTTTGTGTAGTCAAACCTGTTTTTAAAGAGCAGCGTGGTTGATGTGTCCCTTCCTGTAGAAGGTCAAGTAGAAGAAGAAAAAATTCTCGTAAGGTCAGCAGATTGGCAGGCTGGTATATAAGCACAGGTGTAAGATAAGCAAGTTCCAGGAGACTTTTATAGTCTAACTCTGTAAATATTTGGTCACTGTTAGGGATAGAGGATTGTGTAACCTGTACAACCATGGGCATGGCTCAGACAGGTGGTTATTGTAATGACGGGGATGAGAGCATTTTAAATCGGACTATTGAGCTGTCATTATGGGAGAAAGATGGGCAGTCTCCTCCTGTGCAGTTTACAGCCCCTGCAGACTCATTGGAGGGTCAGTTACCAACTGTGGTTCCAACTCAATTGCCATTAATGTGTGAATGATTCATTACAGTGGAAATAAAGGTACGGGCCACTAATAGAAAATTCTTCTATAGACATAGAGTTCATTCTGGTTCATTTGCACAACGCTAAACTATTTCTAGCCTACTCTGTTCTTTTTATGTAACATTCTTTTTATAAAATAGTATCACAACTGGCCTCCAAACCTGATTCTACATTAGAATTAATTGTGGGGCTTTTTGGAAATACTGATTAGTGTGCTTGACACGTAGAGACTTGTCATTAAAATCTAGAACCACAGAAACCTTTTCTTAAGTACAGTAATGGGCTCTGATGCAGAGCCAGGTTTGAAAATGATTCAGTATTTTTGTTAGTTATTCTGCATTTTTTTCTCTTTCCTTTAATTTTTAAAAGTATACTTCCAATTTGCAACTAGTTCCAAGATGTCATAGAAAAGTGGGGAAAAGAATGTTTGATTTCCTAGACTTACTTCTACCCTGGCATTTTCCTTCAGTGCAGCAGTTCATTTCAGTTTAGCCTCAAAGATGTTGGCATGGTGATTTATTAATTAAATAACATACCCTTGTTAATGATTTTCTTGTTAAAAGGGCATATTTTTTAATATATGCAAACTGGTATAATTATGGAGTTCTTATTTAAGAATGAAAATAATGGCTTAAATTTTCAAAATAAAATATTTAGGGGGAAAATATTTTCAGCTGTTGTTCTACAGAATGTCCCTATGTCAGTATCTTCCAAGTGATGTAATATAAACATTACGTACCATCGAGTTGGAATCCACCCGGAGCCGACCCTCCAGTGGGTTTTCAGAGGCAGTTAATCGCATGGAAGGAGATTGGCCATCTTTCCCCCACAAAACAGCTGGCAGATTCAAACCATGTGCCTTTGGATTGGGATCAGTTCTCACCACTAGCAACCAGAGCTCCCTCTACACAGAAGCAGGAATATGCTAAACAATAGAATTAAGACTTCAGTTGTGTCTCTGCGCTTTCATATCTTTAAAAAGAAGATTGGTGTGGTACGTATGTGCACAGAACGTGGCACAAACTCACAAGACCTCTTAGACTGTGTTTTCTACTAGTGTTTTTCATATTGTTTTTACTGTACCTACACTGAAAAATTTCAATGAGGATGCAACATAAGCAGTGTACTTCCCTGTGTGGGTCCCTGTGTATAAACTGAACTAACGATTAAGCCCTATGAGGAATTTGGGCTGGGAATTTTACTTTATTCCTTTAAGAAAAATCTTGGTCATGTTCCTCTGAATTGGTTTTACAATCTGTTGGAGACAAAGAAATTGGCTTAAGATAGAGCAGGGTTCAGAGCTGTTGTATGTAGGGTCACTCGGAATCGCAAACAACAACAAGGCCACCACAGGGAGCCCTAGTTGGACAGCTGTTAAAGCATTGAGCCTCTAACAGACAGTGGAGAAGGATGAAGGCAGTATGCTACTGTAGAGCAAAGCCTTGCAGCCGCTGTTCTGTCTGTAGGGTGACTGAATCAGGGCTCCTCTCCAGCAGTAGGGAATTTAGGGCTACAGAAAAAGAAGCGATGTAATGGAACAGCGCCACCTTGTGGATATAGTTCGATTACATGTTCGTTGAATTTGTTGCTAATAAAAGTTAAGCTGATACATACTTTAAAATATAATACTAGGGGTGATCAGGGAGAAAAGTGCAACAATGAACGAATGGAAGCCCTAAGTCTCTGTAAACATTCATTAAAATTAATTTAAAAAGAGGAAAAAAGAAAACAAAAAATATAATATTAGTACTTTATATAGTTCTATGTTGTATTTTAGGGAGCTCTCGTGGCCAAATGGGTAATGAGTTGCACCGTCTGTCTACCCAAAGGCAGTTTGAATCCTCCAGCTGCTCCTTGGGAGAAAGCTGGGCAGTTTCCTCTTATACAATTGACAGCCCCTCAAAACCCATCAGAGAGTCAGCTGGGAATCAGTTCTGGCTCAACAGCATCGAGAGAGGGAGGGCGATACTGCATTTTTTTATGCTTTAAGAAATAAAAATGTGAAATGAGTTCCATTAAAATTATGCTATTTAATACATAATTAAGCCCTCAACATGAATGAGCTTGGAAGACCTTATGTTGAGTGAAATATCTCAGTGATGAAAAGACAGATACTGGATACAACCGCTGTTATAAAAATAGAATGGGCATGGGGAAGGGAGAGCAGGAAAAGAATGGATAGATAATGAACATGGTACTGGAAAAGAAGAAGGGAAGAAATAAATGGATGATTAGACATTGTATGTATGACAATTAGCAGTCTAGAACAAGACATGCATTACATACAAGGAGAAGGGGACATTGTATATCAGCAAATGAATGTAAACTCATCCTTTCTGTAAACTTTTACTAAAATCACAATCTTTTTTGAAAAATGCTAATTTTTTATTTCAAAATCTTCTATTTTTGTTTATTGGTGAAAAAAATGAAGCTGCATATTCAGACAGATATTTCCCCCAATAAGATCTACCTTTTAACTGTCTTTGTATTTTGATATTCTGCTTCTAGGACAGGGTAACCTTCAGGAGAATAATTGTGAAAAATAATGCCAAAAAGAGAAAAATGTATGAAAGCTTTATTGAGTCACTGCCATTCCTCAAATCTTTGGAGGTAAGTTTGGATGTGTTTATACCATTATTTTGTGTTAAAAGCTCTGCCTTATTAGGCCTATTTTGTTCTGTAGAAATGCTCCTTTAAATAAGAATTATGCTATTTGCTTTTATAACTCAGGATTTGTTTTACTATTTAGAAGTGTATCTGTTTTGCTATTGATAAGCATTTAAACCCCTATCTGGTACATAGAGCTAATTGATAGGTGAACTTTATTTTAAAACTGACATAAACACCTAATTGAAGGCAAATAGCAACCCTTAAAAATATATAGAACTTTATAAGGAGTTTTCTAAACATAGAGTATCTTTACTTTTCCTTCTCAGTTACCTCGCAATCTGGTCTGCTTCTCCTTTCCTATTGAAATTGGTGTTCCAGGGCTCAGTGCTTGGTCCTCTTGTCTTTCCAGTCTGCCTTTACTCACTTGGTGTCCTTGTCTGACCCCAGGACTGTGTTACCTATATGCCAATGCCTCCCAAATGACATCACCAAACAAGGCCTCTCCCTTGACTTCTGAGTCATTTATTCAACAGCCTATTTAACATCTGTTGAGTTAGAGCAAGACACTATACTTCAATCCCAAAGGTTCACGGTTCAAGTCCACCATCTGCTCCATGGGAGAAGGATGGCCTGTCTCTGCCCTGCCTCTGAAAATCTGCAGGAGGGTCAGCTACGGGTCCTTTTTAACTCGATAGTACACAATAACTGGGCTCTCTAGGAGACCTAATACATTCCAAATCCACTCCTAACCTGTCTTTCCCATTTCAGTGGATGGCGGCTCCCTCCTTCCAGAGTCTGAGGCCAGAAACCTTGGCATGAGCACTGACTCACAATTTTCCCCCACACCCCCTCTAGTCTGTTAGCACTCTTATCTGTTATGTCTTCAGAATATCCAACCTCTGATCATTTCTCACCCATTTCCCCACCATTACCTGAGCTATGAGCAATCATCACGTCTTGTCTGGTATTACAGACAATAATAACCCTTTTATAGCCCAAGGCACATCATGTCACTCTTCTGTTTAAGACTTTCCTCATGAGATCCTATGTAGTCAGCCCTCTGCCCCTACCCTGTTCTTCTGACCTCATTTCCCACGGCTCCTGGCTCATCCTACCACGCTGGACAAGCTGGTCTTCTCGCTCTTCCATGAATCGTCACACCCTTGCCTGCTCCAGGGCACCTATCTCCTTCAGTTCTTAACCCAGATGTCTTCTCAATGAGAAGGCACTTTTCTTATCTGTAAAGATGATTAAAGACTTGGGAGAAAGTCTGTTTTTTGTTAATCCTGTAAATTCAACTTTACTTTCTATGCTTCATTGTTAAACTGTTTTTCTAGATACGTTAATCTCACATTAACTGTTTGGGAAGCAATCAAAGAGGACATAGATATGTAGGCACAGTGTCTTGTAAAACAGCAAATGTCAAAATATTAACACTTCTCCTTTCTGTTATGCCTTGGTCAGAGTGTTAGTTTGTGCCTGGTAGAAAGTTTGGCCACATTACAGAATGCATGCGAGGCAGCTGATCTTGTGTGGCAGCGTATCTCTCTAAATATAAATAGATCTGGGACTGGAAAACCAAATGCCTTCAGAGCTAAGCAAGTAACATAAAGAAAAACGCCAGCCAGGAAGGGATGTTGGTAGCTTGGAGAACAAGTGCTCCTTCTAAAGGGACAGCTGCTACTGCGCCATGGACTATTGTTGCGTGTGGAAATACGGGCTGAGTGTTGCCAAGTCTTCTCTTCTGAGAGAAGCTGGAAAAGCAAATTTTATGAGTAATGTATTTTTAAATGCTGTTAATTAAAAAAAATAAATTAAAAAAATGCTGTTAATTAATTTAACAGGCACCACACTTCTAGACTTATTTGGCCTATACATTACCATTCTCTGAGCCTCAAAAATAGTTAAGATTACCCATTGTTGTTATTGTTATATGCCATCGAGTTGCTCGTGACTCATAGTGACTGTATGTACAATCGCTCTGAAACCTGCCCTATCCTGAGCCAGTCTCACTGACTCCAGCACACCTAACCCCATTGCCCCAGTTACCTTGTCAATCCATCTCATCCAGGGCTTCCTCTCCTGTACTGTCCCTCCACTCCCAAGAATGATGTCCTTCTCTAAGTTCTAGTCCCTCCTGGCCATGTTCCCAAAGTATGTGAGACAGAGTTTCAAAATCCTTGCCTCTTCAAAACAACTATGAAATATCATCTTACCCCAGTAAGAATAGCAAAATTCAACAGAGCAGCAAACAGCAAATGCTGGCAAGGTTGTAGAGGAACTGGAACCCTTATTCACTGTGGGTAGGAGTGTAAAATGGGGCAGCCACTATGGAAGGCAGTATGGCACTTTCTCAAAAAGTTGGAAGTAGAAATACCATCTGACCCAGCAATTCTACTACTGGGAATATACCCTAAAGATACCATGTATGCACACCTATGGTTATTGCTGTTTGTTCACAATAGCAAAGAGTTGGAAACAACCCAAGATGTCCATCAACAAACGAATGGATATATTCACACAATGGAATACTATGGTGCATTGAAAAACAAGGAATTCATGAAATATTATACAAAATGGGTTACCCTGAAGGACATTATCCTGAGTGAAGTATCTCAGTCACAAAAGGACAAATACTACATAGTGCCACTGTTGTGACATTGGGGTTGGGGGAACCTAAGAGAAAAGGGGATAAATAATGTATACTGCATTGAAACAGGTGAGGGCCAACTGTTTAAAAGGAATATAGGATTAGATATTATTTTCATGATAAGATTACAGAAAAAGAAATGCACAGTAAAGTGTACTGTGGACTTGGGGGGGATTGTATAAAATGAAAGAATTGTTTTTTTTTTCTTTTCAAAGAGGAAAACTGGGGGGAAGGTTGGGCAGGGAGGAAAATGTGCAACAATGAATGAATGGGAAAAAATTAAATGGAAAGAGTGTGTGTGTGTGTGTGTGTGTGTGTGTGTGTGTGTGTGTGTTGCATTAAAAAAAACTTAAAAAAAAATCCTTGCCTCCAAGGAGAAACTTGGTTTCACCCTCTCCAAAACAGACCTAGCTTTCCATGGTATATGCAATACTCTTCTCCAGCAGAACAGCTCAAAATCATCAATTGTTCATCTGTCATTCTTAGTCATTGTCTAGCTCTCTGATGCATAGCAAGTAATTGCGAAGACCATGGCCTGGATCAGGTGCACCTTGATCTCTAGCTGATATCATTGCTCTTTAGCACTTTGGAAAGGTCCCTGACAGCAGACTTCCTCAATGCAATTTGTCTTTTGATTTCCTGACTGCTGATGCCAAGAGGGTTGATTGTGGAGCTGAGCAAGCTGAAATTGTTAATAAGTTAAATTTCTTCTCCATCCATCATGGTGCTGCCTATTGGCACAGTGGTGAGAATCTTTGTCTTCTTGGTGTTGAGCTTCAAGCCACATTGAAGACTAGAGTCATTGACCTTCCACAGCAAATGCTTCTGATCATCCTCAGTCTTGACATGTGAGGTTGTGTCATCTGCCTAACACAAGTTGTTAATGAGTCTTCCTCCAAGCCTGATGCATGCTCCTTCTCATAAAGTCCAGCCTCCCAAGTGATTTGTTCTGCATACACATTGAAAAGATAAGGAGACAAGATGCATCCCTGATGTATTCCCTTTTTTATTTTGAACCATGTATTGTTTCGTTGCTCTATTCTGATGACTGCTTTCTGGTCCCAGAATAAATTTCACATGAGCAAAATCAAGTGTTCTGGGATTCCTATTCTTTTGAAAGTTAGCCACAATTTATTGTGATCCACATAGTCAAATGCCTTTGCATAACACAGAGATAGAAATTCCTTGCTTTCAGCCAAGATCATCTGACATTGGTGATAACGTCTCTAGTGGCACAATCTCTTCTAAACCCAGCTTGTATTTCTGGTAGTTTTCTGTCAGTGTACTGTTCCAGTCAGTTTTGGATAATCTTCAGCAGGATTTTGCTTATATGTGATATTAGTGATACAGTTCTGTAATTTCCAAACTCTATCAGCTAGCCTTTTAAGGTGAAAGGAATAAATGTGGCTCTTTTCTAGTACATTGGCCAGTTAGTTGTCCTTCAGATTTCTTGGAACAACCTGGTGAGCACATCGAGAGCATCTGCTTGTTGAAATATGTCACTTGGTATTCCATCAATTCCTGGGGCCTTGTAATTGAAAAATAGGTGTATTGCAATTAACAATCTGGAACAGTTACAGGAGCCATTGATCGAATCAGGGACCGGGAAAAGGAGAAAGAAAAAGGAATATAAAGATGATTGACTGACAGATAGAAACAATTGTAAGGGTTGACAGGGAAGGGAAGGGGAGGGGAGGGAAGGGAAAAGGGAAGGGAAGAGAAGGGAAGGGGGAGAGATTAGCATATGAATGGGTAAGGTGAAGGGAAGCAGAGGAAAAAGTAAGATATCCATAGCATACTGTAAATAATGACATTATGCAATTGTTATAAAATGAAATGTATAGGAGTGACTGAATGAAAAACTACTAAAGAATTAAAAAGATTACCCATTAGTCTGTCTTTAATACTGACTTCTTTTCATTGTAGGTCTCTGAACGCCTGAAAGTAGTAGATGTAATAGGAACCAAAGTATACAACGATGGAGAACAAATTATAGCTCAGGTATATTTTATGTCTTGTTATGTAATTGGCAAAAAGATTATATGCAAAAAGATTTTTCTGAATCTTCTGAATGTTGATGATTTTCTCAAGTCTTTCTGTAATGAGTATGTAGTAAAGAATTAAATGAATGTTAAGTCGACCAAGTGACCTGTTTATTAAATGTTTTTGTTTACAGCCATTACACTATCTTAAACTAATAGTGAATATTCAATAGATTGAATTACTTTCTGCGTCATTTTATAGCACTTGATATAAAAAAAAAAGAGTTGTGGTGGCCTGTTGGGGACTGATATCAGTTGCACTGATAACCAAAGGCACTGGATGCGAATCCAGCCACTTCATGGAGTAAAAGGGCCGTTTCCTCCCGAGTTACAGTCTCTGATAACGTGCTGGCGGGTGAGCCGTGAGTCACTTCTGACTTGACAGCACACAACAAGAACAACAACAAATCAGTCCTCTCATTTGGAAGCTGTTCTGTATTTTCAGGCTCTGTGTTATGGGGAGGGTTACAAAATTCTCCCATTTTTACTTCTTACCATTAATTCTCCCTTCAGCCCATCATTCTCATGCTCACTTCTGACCTTACTCCACTTTCACCATAAATTCCGTTTCTTGGGTCACCACCTCATTCTAAAGGACTTTAACCTTCATGCAATGGACTATCTGTAAGCCTCCTTATTCCTTGACCTGGGGCCAGTTACTCTGAAGTCTTTGCCTCCTATTCGGTGACTACAGTCTGTTCTTGTAAATCAACACAATACAGGCACCACCCAACCAGGCTGCTGCTTCCAGTCCTGAAGCACACCTGCTCTGCCCAGACTGTCAAACACATACTGTATTTCTCATTATTCTTTCCACTATAAGCTCCATGCTCATGTATTTCATTTTCCCCTTTTAACACTTCAGTCCCTGGTCCATTGATCTACTTTCACCATCTCCAACTCCTTACCTGAATGGAAAACTTTTTCCCCCCCTCATAGATCTTCTGTGTTTTTTTATTTTAAGGTCATATTCTCTTCCTGAGTGACCTCACACAGCTTTGACTACTCCTTATAAGCTGATGCTCCCCCAAATGTGTATCTCCAGCCAGATCTTATTCCTGAGTTCAGGGGCCCCACAGCTACCTGTATATTGGATAGTTCCTTAAAAACTGCAAAGATCACTGGTCCAAACCAAATTTATCATCTCTTCCTCACAGTATGTAAATGTGCTATTAGAGTGGAAAGGAGTGATCCTTCTCCTGTATTCTTGTCCTGGTGGTAAGGAGTTGTTCTACCCCAGAGTCTGGCAGTTTGAATCCACCAGCTGCTCAGTGATGGACAGTCTCCTCCTGGGTGTGATTTACAGCCTCTGAAAACCCATTGGAGGGTTAATTCCAACTCATGGTGACTTCTAGGGGTGTCAGAGTAGAACTGTGCTGTAAAAAAGAGCAAGGCCCATGTAGGGACGGCTGTGTCTGACCTTTCCCAGCTTCACAAAGGGGAACTGTCCCTGTCAACAGCATCTGTAACACAAAACCAATTCCTATGTGATCAGACATGTCCCCCACCTCTTTCTATTCATTTCAACACTAATTTTACTGCTTTGCTGTGTCCAAACTGTGATGTGATAGCTCACAGACCACACAGAGTCGTATTGGGGAAGTCAGAAGTTATAATCCAGATTAATAACAGTATACAGTCAAGACAACTCCCAAAATGTGAATGCAGGCACCTCAGCCTCGAGCCTCATGGCTTCAGACCAGTGTTTCTAAGTTCTCAGTCCTACCAATATTGACCTCCTACCCCAGTTGTCCCACAGAGTTCTCAGTCCACCAATATTGGTTCTTTCCTCGCCGACAAGGTCTCATCTCACATCACATCTCTAGTTCGGCCATTAGTGTTGCTGCCATCAATGTAGCTGGAGTAAGAAGGATATCTACATTCTCTTGCTTTTCATTCATTGGTGCCAGAAGATCTGTGTGCCTCTTGCTGCTGGCTTGCTCAGTTCAGTGTGGAGACTAGCTGTCCCTGGTAGATTGTTGAGACTGGCCAGTCCTCTTGTGGAATGGTAGATAGCCAGTACCCTTAGGAATAGGCAAACATACCCCATTCACATATTCCTGTCCATCTACATAGCAAAGTCAGACAATGACTAGGATAAATCATATTGAAAGCTAAACTTTGTATGCCATATAAAGTTTTTGTGGCTATGGCAAGTGACTCAATGACATATAAAAACAATAGCAGGTTTGAAAGCAGGAGTGGCATCCACTTCCTAAATAACATGCCTCTGGAAACTCTGTGAACTTTGATAAATGTCGATAGTTTTAGACAGGTGTCAAGCCTTTTGTTCATAGGGTCGCTGTGAGTCATGCTTTTCTTGAAGGCAGTCAACAACAAACAACAACATGATCTTTCGAAAGCAGATCACCAGACCTTTCTTCTGAGGTGCCCTGAGATGGGTTCAGAGTGTTTAACCTTTTATATGGGAGAAAGATGGACAGTATCCTCCCATTATGATTTTAAAAGCTTCAGAAACCTGATAGAGGGATGTTATGAGTTGGAACCAGTTCAGTAGCAGTGAGTTAAAGGTTTATTGTAACCTTTTGTCCTACCCAGGAAGGACAAACTATACAGTACCTTTTTTATTATTAATTTTAATGAAAGCTTACAGAGACTTAGGGTTTCTAGTCATTCATCATTGCACTTTTCTCCCTGCCCCTCCACCTCCCCCCAATTCACTTTTCTCCTTGATGAGTAAGAGAAAGACTCTTTCACTGCTATGCCATCCCTCCCCTCAAGTCCACTCCACTGTGCAGCCTTTATTCTGGACTCCTGTCATGACAATAATACCTAATCATATATCCCTTTTAAACAGTTTATACAGTACTTTTAAAATTATTTTTAAGCTTTTTCTTTTTAAATAGTTATTCACAAGAAGTTGCAAAAATAGCAGGGAGGTCCTCTGTACTCTTCACCCAGTTTTCTCCAGCGGTGCCGTCTTGCATCACATTCGTGCAACATCAAGACGAGGAAATGCCATTGTTACAATCCACAGACCAGAGAGCACATGATTTTACAGTTTCACATGCCCTTAGAGCATATAGCATAGAGCTTATGTTAGATGCTCTGTGTTGATATGCTTATAAACTCAAGTCAACTCATTGCTGTGGAATCGTAACTGCCCCTCTAGTGTGTCAGAGGCTGTAAATTCTAAGAGATTACATCTCATCTTTTTCTCTTGTGGAGTAGCTAGAGGATTTGGACTGCCTGCCTTTGGTAAACAGCACGTGTCTTTAACCACTAAGCCAGCAGAGCCTTTATAAATTCAGGGTGTATTAAATACATTTTTAGCTACATGTGTTTGACATATTCATGTACGTACATGAATGTTCTCGTGGCATGCTCTGTAGGGAACTTTGCTGCTGGCCAAAAGGCCGCACCTCTCTGCCAGTTTGAATCCACCAGCAGCCCCAAGGGAGTAAACTGGGAAGTCTCCTCCCATGCAATTTACGGCCTCACGGAAAGCCACCGGAGGTTCAGCTATGAGTCTGTTCTGACTCAGCAGCAAAAGCTTTGACCTTTTAACTTGTGCACATGTAAACATCCACGTCTGCAATTATATAAATCTAGAGCCAGCGTTTACTTTGTGTTGTAGCCTGCTTTTGAGTTGGTTGAATTTAACACTGAAGTCTCAAGTGACAATTAAAAATTTACACCAGAGAGTTTTGAAATACCTTTTTCTGCAAAATCTGTTAGAGAGGCCCAAGAGCCAGTATCTACCTGGGTGTTATTGTCTGTATGATGTATTTGAGGATCTTATTGGAAATCAAGGGAGAGTTAATTGAAAGTTTTAAAAGCATATGTTGAAAGGGCAGCCCTATCAGACTCTCCCAGGTCTTTTAGAATCCTTGAGGTAGATGGTCTGCAGCCTGATGTCTCAGAGCCTGGTAATTGCTGTAGAAATGTCAGAGGTGTGTACGACTGCTTTGTGCTAGGTCTGGATGCCTTCTCTGTGTGTAGACTGATTATTTGGGATCAATCACCATGCTAATACTCTTTACGCTGTGAGGACTCGGGCAGAATAGCAGTTCTCAGGCCACAGGATCTGCCAGAGAGTTGTTGCTGGAACACAGTAGTGTTGCCGTTGATGAAATTTGGTTGAAATCCTTTCTACAGTGTTAAGCATGGTTTCTTGGCTGGTTAGTTCTAGTTGGCTGAAGTGCTGTGATAGGGAGTTTATGGTATAAAGTCGTTTTACAAATGAAGCCATAACTGTATAATTGTTGACAGTACCCACTCATTTTTGGACTTGAGATCGCCTGTTTGGATGGGGTTTCTCTTTTGAATTTGATTATTGCTGCCAGGTAAACATTTTTTTTTATCCTCTGTTTTTGTTATTTTCATAGGGAGACTCGGCAGATTCTTTTTTCATTGTAGAATCTGGAGAGGTGAAGATTACTATGAAAAGGAAGGTAAGTGTTCTTCAAGTCATAGAAAACCAATGATATTAACTGGGCACATAGTAGGTTTTATTTCTTTCCATTTTTTTTCATGTTCAAGCTGAGGTTAACTTTCATTTTACACGAGCTGAGCCAACATTAATCTGTTTTATTGCCTTGTCAGGGTAAATCAGAAGTGGAAGAGAATGATGCGGTAGAAATCGCTCGATGTTCTCGGGGACAGTACTTTGGAGAGCTCGCCCTGGTAACTAACAAGCCTCGAGCTGCCTCTGCACACGCCATTGGGACTGTCAAATGTTTAGGTAGGAGTCACAGATGTGAACAAGCTTCTGTTGAAGCAGTTATGCTTATACGTTATGTATGCATCTTGTATGGGTAATTTTATTGATACGGCTTAGGAAGTATGACAAGGTTAGTATTTACTGCATTATTAGAAATTCAGTTTAAAAATTTTTTAGAATTTTCATTCATGTATGTGTTGTGTGTATAAATATATAGGGTGTGTGTGTGTGTGTGTGTGTGTGTGTGTGAATAAATTACATGGAAGGAGATTGCCTGGCTGATGGTGGATTCTAACCGCATGCCTTTGGGTTGACAGCACAACTCCTTAGACGCTAGGCCACCAGCTTATGTGTATACATATATTATTTTATATAGACATGAAATGATCTCATATTTTAGTGCTTAAAATGTAAATTCTTAATACCAAGTTTAATATTAAATCTTTAAAATAAACAACATGCTTTATACTACTCAAAAAAGAAAATGAAAGAAAAATAAAGTTAATACTTCATCTTAACTCTGGGAAACAAAATTATAAGTTTGCCAAAGGATTATAAAATATTTGTTGTGACTGAATGAAAACACAATATGATTTGTATAATTCAGTAGAAGAAAAATATTCTTGATTAGCTGTTTATTTCTCATGCCACATATTAGTGTGTCAGAAATGCAAGACATCTCTCCATTCCCTGAAGCATGGATGTCATACTTGAGAAAAATTTAACTTTACTAATGAAAGTATTGTTCAGGAAATGGCAATAGAGGTAACATTTTCTTTAAGTAAGAAATTTAATTCCACTGTAATAAGCCTTTCTATGCGCTTCATCTTCAACAGAATAAACTTAGTCTCAGTGTTCTTAAGAATTAATGTTCTGAAGAAGGGAGATCTTCTGAATCAACTTCTGCCAAATGTCAGTTTTTAAAAGGTTTTTAAAATAAGTATATTATTAATCAAGTCTTATAGTTGGATGGAAGAAAAGACAATTAGGAACTGACAGGTAATTTGCCCGAGTAGAGAGATTAGACAGAGTAAAGGTGATGGAGAAGTCCATTAATTTTTTTTTTCAGAATAAATTATATTCACCTTAAAAAAATTGAAAAATTACAGAAAATGTAGGAATCAGAAGGCCCAACACCCTCAGCAACCCCCTGCCGGGAAGTTGCTCCTTCTGGTCTTTACATGTGTTTTCTGTTTTTAAGCAATTTTGTAAATGTTTTATTCATTATAGCTTAGGTATTTCCTCACTTTATTACATAAAAATGTGTATTAGGTAAATAGGCATACTATAAGTATTTAATCATTCCTTTTTGGCAGGTATCTTGAGCGATTTGTTTCTGATTTTTTATCTTTTTTTTAAAATCCATAGTGGTGCAGTGACTGGTTTAGTGTATGGCTTTTCATTATAGTTTTCAGAATTGTGTGTTTTCCTTGAAAGGGCTTTTGCTGTACCTTGCAAGATTATTTTTAAAATTGTTATTTGTACTGATTTACATCTCACATTCCTACGTGCCCATTCACTTAATTTTCATAAGTATCATTGTTATCTTGGCAGTTTTAAAAAGCAGAAAAGATAATTTTAATTTGCAGTGTAATGTATAAGAATGTGATCATTTTCTTTACATGGTTGTATTATGAATTACCTATATCGTGCTCAAGCCTAGAAGAGCTAATTCATAGTAATTTGTAATAATTTCATACATGAAAAACAAAAGCCTGTGCTGAACACGGCAGAGACTGAGAATGGGGCAAGGTTCCCGGCTGTTGTTGTTCAGGTCCCCAGAGTCCGAGGCGAATTGACGGCACTTGAAAACGTCGTTTTGAGTTACGTTTTGAAATTAATAAGACAGGCAGGTAAAGTGGCGTATAAAGATTTTCCCAATAGAAGTGAACAAAAGCATTCCAGATGCCATTTTGAACTTACTTGATAGTATTAAGAATAATCGTAAGAGCATTTGGTTTTTACAACATGACTTTAGAGACCTAAGAAAGAAAAACTAGGAGATAAATCACTTAATTATTGATGAATTGGAAGCATCAGTGAATTGATTGTTCAAAATTCCAAGGCCTTGCCCTATCATTTACTGTTTTCACAGCCAGGCACTGCACGTCACACTGAGGAAGGACCAGGGACCATGATGTGAGATGGCACTGGCCATTTCCGTTTTGAAACTAAATGTTTTTAATCATTGTGGGGGTTTCCCCCCTTATACTTTATAATATTTACTTAGAAATCAAATTACATAATTGACATCTCCAGAATTGGTATCCTAAAGCATGTGGAAATTCTATAGATTTGCAAAGAATGTGATTTTTCTTTCCCTTTCCCTCTTTTCTTAGCCATGGATGTGCAGGCATTTGAAAGGCTTTTGGGACCTTGCATGGAAATTATGAAAAGGAACATCACCACCTATGAAGAACAGTTAGTTGCCCTGTTTGGAACAAACATGGATATTGTCGAATCCACTGCATGAAGCAAAAGTATGGAGCAAGAAGACCTGTAGTGACAAAATTACACAGTAGTGGTTAGTCCACTGAGAACGTGTTTGTGTAGATGCCGAGCATTTTCTGTGATTTCAGGTTTCTGTTCTTTTTTTTACATTTACAATGTATCAGTAAACAGAGTAGTGATTTAATAGTCAGTAGGCTTTAACATCACTTTCTAAGTACTTATATCATAAAAAGTCCTGCATACTGATGACTTTCTATTCCATACAATTATGAATTGACTTTATTCAAATGATTGTAATATATTGAAAGAATCAGTGTTTGAGAAGATAATTAAAGGATGTTATTATAGGCAATATTAGGTGTGTTCATTTTTACCTGCTCAGAATAGGTTAACAACTATGCCCATATAAGAGGGAACTTGGCAATGAATCATGCTACACTGCATAGCATCACATTCTTTTTACAACTCATTATATCTATAGTAAGTACAATTTTAATAATTTTTGTTTTAAAGTTCTTCTGGCTTGATAAGTTATGTGCTGGCCGTGGCCTATTGGTGACCTGGTAAGGAACATCATATGCAATTTTAAAACCTTTTCTATTTTTGCAATAAAGTACATTTGGCATAATGTCAGTAATCTGCATATTCCAGTGGCTTAATGACAGGCAACGCAGTCATTATGATAATAGAGAAAAGAACCTTTTTAGATGTCATATCTTTAATGCATTTTTCCCTCATCAAGCATATATCTTTGCTTCCTTTTTCATTTAATAATTTTCTAGTCTTTTAAAAGTTTGAGTTTAACATGCTAAGTCACAATTTTTTTAAAAAAAAAACTATCTAAATTTGTTAATTTTGTCATTTTATTTTGTCCAGTGAGTGTCTGAGATCTTATAGTCAACAAGCAAAATCTCCTCCTGTACCAAAACTTACTTTTGATTCCTTAACATCCTGCTCACAAGGTGTTCCTTTATTCTTCACTAAACCTATGAAATAAAATCCTTAGCAGACATTTGCCTCCAGCAGGTTTTTGTTTTTCCTTATAATCGTTACAGGCCTGAGTTCCTCATAGGTCTCCAGCCAATGAGAAGGGGTTTTCATTTACCCTTTTTTTCCCCTTTAAAAACTTCCTAGAAGATAATAGGTATAAATATTTATATAAACAAAAGAACTTTCTGTTCATACTACATATGACCGTGAGGCTTTGCCATTTGCTTTCATGTAGATTCATAGTTAAGGTGAAGAATGAATTCAGTGTGAACTTGGTATGATTATTGATGTACTTATTATTCTGTTACATAAAATGAGTTTAATTATTATCCATTTTCAGTGATACAGTCTTATATGACTTCTAGGTACACATGACTCTAGTGTCTGAAAAAATGAATTCTAACCTGTTTTTTCACTTTTAACGAAGAGATTTCATTTTGGGAAATATATTTTAAAAAAGACATTTACATGGATAAAATGATTCTGCAACTATCTGGTCTTACTAGAGAATGTTTATAGTCCCACTTGTATATGAAAATGTCCTTAAGCTACTTGATTGGATAATGTTTATGTGAAAAGTTGTAGTATGTGAAGGTAGCACTTTAGCCACCTTTTAGAACATTTTTATAAGACTGTATTGGGAAAGCGCGCTCTACATGAAGATGACTTGTTTTCGGTTTTACTTCAGATTTTATTTAAAAAGCCATGTCTACTAATCTAGAAATTAAACCACACAGGACCCCAGATTCTATCTTATCATTATCTACTCTTTCTCCACCTTTTCAGGTAATCTGTTTTGTTGCATAAGCTAATTGTTAACTATTCCTAGAACAGCAAACAAATGCCTGTTTAATAAAGAACTTGGACCAAGGCTATAAATGCCAGTTACATTATTTTCAGTATTGTTGGTTATATTTAAAATTTCCTTATAATAAAGCACACTTTTATAATAAACACGAGTTGATTTTCAATCAGTTTTTTCCTTGCTTATTGATATACTGTTACTTTAGTAACACATCTCATTTTACTCATTGCCGTTGAGTCAGAACCAACTTGGAGCTGGTCTTCAATCAGGTTTCTGATGCGATAAGCCCAGAAAGATGTTGCCTGCCTTTTCCCCACAATGCTGCTGGTTGGAGAAGTGTGGCTTTGGATTAGCGCACGACTTCCTCTGGACTATACCATAGGAGCACCTCTGCAGTTCCTAGAGCAATGGAAGACGTGATTGAGATGTGGCTTGTGCGAAAGTGAACTCTCTGAGCGGCATGTAGGAAAGTATCTTATCTGTATGGCAATAGTCTTTTGGTTGGTGTTAATTCTTAGTACTACATGAAATAATGGTGGCACAGTGAAGAGTAATTTGGCTGTTTAGGATAAGGGAGGTCTGGAGGCCTAAGTAGTAAACTGCACTGTAATCCCAAAGGCATATGGCTCTAATCCACCAGCTGCTCCACAGAAGATTTCTCAAGCGATTCACTGCCTTTGGAAACCTGCTGGAGGGTCAGCTGGTTTCAGGTCAGTGGCAAACAGCAGCAGCATAAAGAAATCTGGACAGGTAGGGAAGTTATATGGGAAATCATCTGACTAAATCACCTCACATTTATTTGGCCTATGGATCTCAATATTTAGTCACTAACCAATAGTCTTTATGATTTGGAGGCCTTTGACTCTTGAAGGCAGAGTCTCCTGATGTGTCACAGGTACCTATGGGAAGGGTTAGGGATTTCCAGAGAACAGTCTTTCAACACTGAGATGCTTTCCTTATTTAGTTTAAAGAAAGAGGTGTATTTTTCCTGGAAACCAATTATTTACTAAAGCTCAGTGTAAATATTTTCATATTCACACTACGTAGGACACAAATTGGGTGAATGTATTTAAGTTACTATTCAGACTCTGGGGTATGAAACAAAGAAGTGTGGATTTTATTAAAATGGGTAAGATTAGTTTGCTTGCCTCCACAGTCAATTATTCTTGGTACCAGCAGCCATGAAATCAAAAAATTAATTAACTGCATTGGGAAAGTCTGCCATCAGGGGCCTCTCCATAGTACTGAAGAGCAGTGATGTCAGTCTGGAGACTACGGTATGCCTGATGCAGTTACTTGTTATGCATCAGAAAGCTGGACAATGACAAGGAATGATAGAAGGAGAATTGATGCCTTTGAGCTGTGATGCTGGAGAAGAGTATTGAATATGGACTGTTAGGAGAACAAACAAGTTTATCCTAGAGAGGGTAAAAACAGTTTGCTCCTTGCAGGCTAGGATTCTGAAGCTTTGTCTGACATACTTTGGGCATGTTGTAAAGAGGAACCAGTCCTTAGAAAGGAATTTCATACTTGGGAGTGTACAGGGACCGCACAGAGAGGAGAGCCGTCAATGAGATGGATTGGTTCAGTGACTGGGGTAATGGGAGTAGGTGTGTCAGAGACATTAATGTTGGCTCAGGACAGAGCAAGGTTCAGAGCTGTTGTACATAGGATCACAAGTGACTCGACAACACATAACAACAAGATTAAGAAAAGTGCTGAGTCCCTTTCCAGAGTAGCTATATGATACTGATATTTGCTAATTTTTGTCAAGAAATATATATATGTAGAATTTGACAGTCTCAGGGAAAATTATTATTGTGTAAGCCAGATGAGTAAGTACCACATCTGCATAACACAAGACTTTGTAAAATAGCTGAAGAAGGGATTCTATAATCTATAAAAAAATGTTAATACCTAATAGAATCAAGGAAATAGAATGAGAAGGAATACTGGATTCAAAAATGAAAAGTAGCATGAAGACTGTTTTGATAATGTTGATTAGCTGTGCTCCGTAAAACAAAAAGAAATGAGAATAAGAATTCCAGGAACTTTGCCCTTTCCAGGATACTTTTGAAAGCAACAAAACTGATTGAGGAACTGAAACTATATAGTTGTTCATCTTTACAAGTATGTAAGAGAAAACAAAATCTTAAAGGGGTAATGAATTATTGATATGTAAGCAGTACACTAGTTATTTGCCAAAGTCTTAGGTGCTTCACACAATAACAATGAAAGTTTAAATACATTTCAATAGCTAAAAAACAGAGACTTCACTGCAAAATGTCAGGTGAATTAAGATCTCTGGGTTCCTTGTTCATTCTTGGATTTGTATTTTCCCCAAGGAATAATGAGCTTAGTATCAGCCTAGTACATAAGGAAATGTCTATAAAGTTTGCAGTAGAGACACTGTTTAAAACGATTTTTTTTAGCCAGAATATCTGGCTCTTGAAATTTTCATAATTCTAAAGAAGCATGTGATATATGTAGGAATATGTGTTGATTTGTACTATGGAAGTCATTGTCTACATCATGAGAATGAGGATAGTAATTTTCCTAGATTATATTTTAATCGTAGCAAATGGATCTTGACATTTTCCATCATTTATGTATGTTTGTGTCTATGTATTGTGTGATAGACACATTCACTGTATATATTTGTGTGTTGTGTACGTCCTTATGTTGTTGTTAGGTGCCTTCGAGTCAACTCAGCGATCCTGTGAACAGCAGATCTGACCCTCGCCCTATCCTGGGCTTTCCTCATGATCTCGCATATGATAATACTCATGTATCTACTACAGAATGTATATACATGAAATTGTAGCACCATTTATACAAAACAGACTCATTATAACATGTAAATGTATGTTTTACTCTTGATGTGAGAAACAGAAAATAGCCTTTCTTCTCAGGTTCAAGGGAAAAATTGTAGTCTGAGTTGGAAATAGGTTCTGAAATGACAGAAGAGGTCTTGGCTTTGAGCTGCAACCATTCAGAAGTGAAACCCTAAACATTTTCTTTTTAATGAAAGAAAAAAAGTTTACAAAGTAGAACCCTTGAATGAGTGTATTTATGACCAATCAAAAGTTAGAGTTAAGTTGCCTCTGATTGTTGATTCCCTCTCTTTGCCTTAAGAGGAATCCTAGCTAGATTATGATGAGACACAAGGGCATGAACTCGATCCCTGGACTAGATGTGCTTTTTTTTTAAAAATTTTTTTTATTTTTTATTATTTTTTGTGTGAGTGTACCGTCAAATCAGATCTGACTGGTACAGGAGGAGATTGTCCCTCCTTCCCCGGCAGAGCATCTGGTGGATTTGAACCTTGCGCC